ATTATTATTATTATTATTATTATTATTATTATTATTATTATTATACGTTGAGAAATTGAATTTGATGTGTAAAAAACAAGGAAATGATTGCGCAGTTCTGAACTTGAACTCAAAGTGCCGCTGTTGATCAGGAGGGCGGCTCTGTCTTAGTTTTGCCTTACCAGGACCTCCCCTGTTACAGTGCTGTGGAAAAGGCAGGCATAACAGCTCACAGCGAACACGGAGGCTGGAGTACATATGAAGGACTAAAAGAGAGAGGCGCTGCTTTTTTGGAAAGAAACGCATTTACTTCCGATATTTTCTATGTATATTGAGTGCACAGGAATGATATAATAGAGAACACCGAGTATCATGATGCGCAATACGGCATATTGGCGCTTTCCTTTCGCAAGGAGAAAAATGAACTGGACAATGAAATGGCAAGTACGGTGTTTCTTTGTAAGTCTCTGTTGTATAGAGGCAGTTTTCAGCCATGTTACATATTCTATTCCGGAGGAAATGCAAAAGGGCTCCTTTGTGGGGAATATTGCTCATGATTTAGGACTGAGTATTAAAAGGATGATCAGTGGTAGAGCTCGAATTTTCACCGGAGATAGTAGCGAATACGTTGAGCTGAATCGAGATAAAGGCATATTGGTTGTGAAAGAAAGAATTGACAGAGAAGAGCTTTGTGAGACTATGACGCTTTGTAATCTTCAGTTTCAGATTGTTCTAGACAATCCAATAGAATTCTACCGTGTTACAGTGGAGATCGTAGATGTGAACGACAACGCTCCAGTTTTTCCAAAAGGCGAGGTGAAATTGGAAATAAGCGAGCAGGCTGTTGAGGGAGCGAGATTTGTGCTAGAGAGCGCCGTAGATCCTGATGTGGGTGTTAACACACTGCAGACCTATATGCTTAAACCATCTGATAATTTTCATTTAAATGTAAACACACGGCCTGATGGAAGTAAACAGGTAGAAATGGTGCTACAGAAACCATTAGATCGAGAGAAAGAAGAGAAGATTTCGTTGTTGTTAACGGCAGCTGATGGCGGAGATCCACAAATGACAGGCACAATTAAAATATACATTGATGTGCTAGACGCTAATGACAACGCTCCTGTTTTTACTCAGAGAATGTACAAAGCCTCGGTGATGGAGAATGTCCTTAAAGGTACCGCAGTGACCAGAGTTAGCGCCTCTGACGCTGATAAAGGATCAAACGCGCAAATTACATATTCTATTTCACACACTAAAGAGGGTGTAAGTGAGATTTTTAGCATAAATCCAGCTACTGGAGAAGTGAGTGTGACGGGTCAGATAGATTTTGAGAAAAACAAACATTATGAATTGAATATCCAAGCCAAAGACGAAGGTGGCCTCATAGACTCTAGTAACATCCTAATTCAGGTTATTGACATTAATGATAATACTCCTATAATATCTGTTATGTCGTTTTCTAATATTATACCTGAAGATACTTTACCCGGGACTGTTATAGCTGTTGTTAATGTACAAGACTCAGATTCTGGGAGCAATGGTCAGGTTCATTGCATTATAGATGAAAACGTCCCATTTAAATTATTATCCTCCGCAAATAATTTCTATAGTTTAGTAACCGATGGCATGTTGGATCGTGAAGCACATTCAGCATATAACATTACTATTACTGCCAATGATGAAGGGTTGCCTCCTCTTTCAAACACTTTGACTTTGACTTTGAAAATATCAGATGTTAATGATAACTCCCCGGTCTTTGAAATGACCTCATATACGGCATATATCACGGAAAATAACATACCAGGCCTGTCTTTATTCTCCGTTAAAGCCAAAGACTCTGATTGGAATCAAAACGCTCGGGTGTCTTATATTCTTGAGGAATCA